TATAACTCACCAGTGAAATTATCTGGTCTTGGGCTTTATGTCTTGGGAAATTTTGATTGCTGATTCAATCTCCTTACATGTTATTGGTTTGTTCAGATAGTCTATGTCTTTATGATTCAGTCTTGGCAGGTTATAGGTGTCTAGGAATATATCCATTTCTTCTATGTTTTCTAATTTGTTGGCATATAATTATCTGCAGTAGTCCCTTAGGATCCTTTATTTCTGTAGTATCAGTTAAAATGTTTTCTCTTTCATGTATAATTTTATTTATTTGAGTATTTTTTCTTAGTTTAGCTAAAGGTTTATCAATTTTTTTTTTATCTTTTCATGAAGTTAGCTCCTCAGTAAAATACTTCCCAATCTTATTAACCAGCTGCTTCTTGGTGCTTGAATACATGGTAAGTCAGTCAATCCTATGGATATTAACCCATTGCCTCACTATTTTTTGTTATAAAAATACGTTCCTTGATCAGAAGCAATGTTGAGTGGGACACCATGTCAATAGATAAAGCTATCTCACATGTCCACAAATGACGCTGATGGCAAAAATTTTGCTTGTAGGAAAGTCAATGGAGATTAGTCTCTGCAACCTCTGTGATAGGCAGGGTTCATTGTAATCAATCTTCTGTGATTAGCTGGCTAGTCTACCTAGAAAATGATATCTTAATGGAGATTTAACATTGGTCTGATTTGGGTAGGTTGGGTACTCATCTAATGTTATTATTAGTACATCACTGGCAAGGGGAGGCCCATGTTATTCAATACAAAAATAATTTACATGCTGTCATCATGGCATTTGGTTCATAAACCCATTTAGTTAGCACTGTAGTGAATAGGGAGAATGACTGGCCGACATGTATAGCATGCTCCACACTGAGCTCACACGAGACACAATTATCCTCTCACTTTGTGTCCAATGTATGAGAGCCATCCACAAAAATTTTCCCACATTTCCTTATTACTTCACAATTGGAAGAGGCATTAATGTGCAGATTATTATCAGAAGGTTATGATCCACTCTTGATAAGTACAGTATGTATATATGGGGGAGCTAAGGTTGAGAAACCCTTATTCTGTTTTTCACTGAAAATCTATGCTATGTTTGTTAATTCTTTGTCAGCTGGATATAAACAGTAAACGTGGTGTTTTGATCAGTACTAATGGAACAGCAGCTATGCATGTAACAAGAAAGTGCATCACTATGTGAATAAACTATTTGGCACCTGAATACTAACTTACGTATTGCTTTATGCAAATGAACAAGCAACATATTTCATTACCTTAATTCAAAATTAAAAACAATAGTGAAAATCAGGAAAACAATCAAATGATGGTCACAAATTTCTTCCTGTCATTCCGTTCTCCATGGCGTGAGCAGAAACACAGAGCACTACTATTCCATATTGAAAAAACTATCTACCAAGTACAAAGGGAAGTACAAGTAAAGGATAAAATATAAACATTTCATCAAGATTCTACAGTGTTCTAGCAAAATCCATTTTCATTATTTCAAGTAGCTTTGACAAGTGGAGTATGTCCTCAGTACAGTCAGTATTTTAAAAGCTTCAACCTATTATTACTTGATGTTATAAAATATCAAAATTTCTAATGTTGAGGATATTCAAATTTTATTAAAAGACTAACTTGTTCTATTTTTTAAATTAAATTAAAGATTGTATAGTCTTTTAAACATTAATTTTTATTGCAGACAAAGCTGTATTTGTTAAAAATGTAATTTATGTGATATCCCAATTTGTCCTCATTTTAATTTTTAATAAATTTTCTATCCAGAAGTAAATTTTCTACAACACTGCCATGGCTGTGGCATAGTTTTTAAGTGAGTCCCAAGCTTGACAGTTGTTCTGGCTCTGAAGGGTACTAATATCAGGGTATAAAAAGGCAAAGGTGGTTTTCAATGTCAAGTTTGCTAAATCACTTGGACTGTACACACACTTTACTAGTATCACATGTATAAGTGTATAACAGTGAGATTCTGGAAAGAGAAGCAGCAGAGCTCACACAATCTCATTATCCCACGAAGAGTCAGTCTTAGGCATTTAGGTATATTCTGACTAGAAATACCATGCCATGGGTTCCAAGAGATGACCATACTCTTGGAATGGTCTGCACATTTCAAAGCACAAGAGGGAAGGAAATATCTGGGGGGCTCAGTGTATGGGGATTGAGGTATTTGGGGGCTGATCAAGGAAAAATATATGATCATGTGGTGATAGTAGCACACACAAACTTGAGCTGGACAGGACTTAGACAGGGTTGCGTGTGAGGAAAGTCCCTTGCAGCATAAGGCTGTCCAGAGGCTATGGTAATGGGCCCACCATCTAGAAGTGGAAGAAGTGAAGGGAACTTCTGGGGAAGAGAGGACAAGAAAGGGGACTTCCATCACTAAATGCTGGCAATGGTATGGAAAAACTAGTCACATATCTGTTCTTGGTGGGAATGTAAAATGGTGCTTGGGGAACTACTGTGAAGGGAACATTTAGTTCTCTTTAGTTCCCTGCCCAAGATCCATGTTAGCATAGAGTCTTGGCTATTTAACATCTCAGTTTTGAGATGAGTAGAAACTGCCTCTTCTTCATCAAATAATGTCGTTGACTCATGTTTCTTTTTTTTTTTTTTTATTTTTATTTCTAGGAGAGAGAGAGAGAGCGAGAGAGAGAGAGAGAGAGACAGCGTGAGCAGGGGAGGGTCAGAGAGAGAGGGAGTCACAGACTCTGAAATAGGCTCCAGGCTCTGAGCTGGCAGTCAGCACAGAGCCCGACGCGGGGCTCGAACCCACGAACCGCGAGATCATGACCTAAGCGAAAGTTGGACGCTTAACCGACTAAGCCACCCAGGTGCCCCGACTCATGTTTATTTGAGCACCAGCTCAAGCCTTTCCAATGAGGTCATGTTTCTCTAGTTATTCGATACCATGACCAAAAAATAACATGCACCTATTCTTAAATTGTTCTTCAACCAACACAGTAGAGGAGGTGTATCTCCTCTTTCCTAGAGGGAATCTTTCTAGAAATGCTAGAACCTGTCCTTTCCTATCTTCTTAGGAGCTTTACTCTATCAGTTATGTTCTATCTCTGGTATTTTTTATGTCTCCCTCTCTCATAGCCTTTTCCCTACAAACTGTATGTTTGCTGAAACCTCTCCCTAAATTTCTTCTCTTTTCTGTCAAATCCTATAAGAGAATGATTTACTTTCACTGTCCCACTTTTCTCATTTTAAATTAACTCCTTAACTCACTACAGTCTGTTTTCTGCCTCCCAACACTCTGCTGAAACTGTTGCCACCAAGGTCACCTACAATCTCTGAGTTGCTAAATCCAACTCTCCGTTCTTATCTTACTTAACATTTAACACTTACTTAACAGCAGAATTTGACCTGTTGACCACCATCTCTTTCTTCAGTCTCTCTTCCCTGGCATTTGTGATCCCTTTTCTTCTTGGTTTTTGTCTGCCTTCTTTGGTCCTTTCCTTCTTTGTCTCCTTCAAAGGCATCTGTCTCTCCTTTTTTCCCCTTGAATATTGGTGTTTCCCAGAATTATTCAAGATATACTTCTTTTGCTCTCCATATTCTACTTGCTTGTCCTGCTCACACCATAGACTTTGATTGTCATTTCTGCTATGATGGTTCCCAAATCTATCTGTCTAGATCAGATATTTCCTGAACCATAAACCCATAGGCCATTTTTGTGTTACTTAAGCATCTCCAACTAAAATCTCCAAAGTGAATTTGTCAACCTCCAAAGTAGTCTTCCTTCCGCATTCCTCACCTTTCATGCCACCACTCCTTCCAAAGATCTTAAAAATGATACAGGACTCCTTTTTCTCTTACCATCAAATCCTGTTGATTCAAGCCCCTTAATATGTTTTGACATTATATCTTCATTTCTAATACTACTCTTTTAAATTAAGCCATCTTTTCTTTCCCATAGTTCAGTGCATTATTCTCATGACAATGAGCCATTTTCCAATGAGGAACTTTTGGCAAGTTCCACAGCCAAACTCACAGCTAAATCTGGAAACAAGGGTGGCTCGGGAAAGCAAAATCTCAGGGTCTTCCTTTGGTTGGACACACTGGCCAGCCAAATTGACCTTTGACTGGTCTAAGCTAGTCTTCAAAGGAACCTCCTTTCAGACTGTCTAATATGAAGTAGAGGTGTGTATGGCGGCGGGGGGTGGGGGGTGCAGGTAGATGAGTACAGGGTTGGGTAGGAGAGGAGGAAGAAAGGGTTCCTTTCTACCCTAAACATGACTCTTACTATCACATAGCCCAGAGAAGGAAAACCTTAATTATTTTCCATTGCATTCCTATTTCCTTTTTCTACTCCAAATTGAAAATCTCCAAAATTGAAAAGGGTGGGCTTTTCTTTTCTTACCCTTCTTTTCCCATACATACATTAAGCTTTAATGGTGGCCAGAGATACTTCCTCTACTCTGGGAGAATTCTATGAGCATAGGTCATACAGGCTTGGTTGTTAGACAAAGTGGGAAATAAACAAATCTGTAAAATTGTCTTTCAAGATAATAACCTGTCTTACTGCTTAATTCTATTTCAACTTTCAAAAGCTGGATACACCTCTCTATCCCTATTTTCTTTACATACAAACTGAGAGAGATGGATGCCTTAGGCCAAGAGAGTGAAGGTCATGTACCAAGCAAGGAAAAAAAAAAGTAAAATCACATTAAAAATTTTAAATTATTATCCTTGTTAGAAATGATTTAAACATATAGCATATAGTTTCATATTCCCACTTTTGAGATTGAAATTTTCCATACTATACTTAACTCTAAAAACACTCTCCTATTTCATGCCCATTATTGAAAATCATCTCCTCTCTCAAATCCCTCCTTAAAACTTCTCTGAAACCTTTTATAAGAAGGGAGCCTGAAGGTCTTTTCTTAAAGACAAGAAAGCAGGTTGAATTTAAATAAAAGACAGAATAAGATAGACCAAGCACATGGGAAGAAAAAAATTAATAAGCTCACCTCTTTCAAGTAGCTTTGCCATTGAGTTTTTACATTTTAACTCCTTGTTTTATTTTTATCTCTAGTGTAGAAATATTCTTCATGGATTGTAATGCTTTTCATTCTGAAATACATCAAATTCATTTCAACCACTACTAATAATAGTAGTAAATTTAAAATAAAATACCAGTAAATGTCACATTGAATTTCCTTCTTACTCAACTAGAGATAATAATGCCTTTTCCCAGACCTTCTCAAGGAATCTATGAGGATAAAATGGATAAAGTTTTAGGATGATTTAAGCTTATTAGGGAAACAATATGAAGTATAATAATTCCCATCTTTTCAGAGTTCACACTTCCTTGAAGTAATTTCTAATTCACCATAGTTGGCTTTTTGGGTTTCTCTTGTGTTCAGAGATATTTTATATCTATGCAAAATGAAGTAAGATAAATTATTTAGGTTATAAATAGGTTTATTAAGTGGTTAATAGCATACAAGCAGAAAGTGGAGCAAATAAGTACAAAATTAAAGATTGTATAGTCTTTTAAACATTAATTTTTATTGCAGACAAAGCTGTATTTGTTAAAAATGTAATTTATGCGATATCCCAATTTGTCCTCATTTTAATTTTTAATAAATTTTCTATCCAGAAGTAAATTTTCTACAACACTGCCATGGCTGTGGCATAGTTTTTAAGTGAGTCCCAAGCTTGACAGTTGTTCTGGCTCTGAAGGGTACTAATATCAGGGTATAAAAAGGCAAAGGTGGTTTTCAATGTCAAGTTTGCTAAATCACTTGGACTGAACATGAATTACATCTTACTTTTTAATGATAGAGAAATATGGACAGTTTGCACAGTATATTTTAGGATACATTTATTACGCTGTATCTCAAGGAGTTTTATGTAACTTCACAAAACTACATAATGCTCCTTTAACATCTTAACAAATAACACAATCATCAGTAAAGAATGATGAAATGAAGTACACTCAGATGATACTCCAAGTGTCCTTTATAAGTAGACTTATGACACAGTTCCAAAAATTATACATATTTTGTAAAGTCCCCAAACATACATAGCATGAAATTTTGTTTTCTCTGTCTTCTATTTAACATGGTTTAAATGAAATTCAGTGAAGCGAATGTAGAACTGTAATCCCCACCCCTATATTAGAGAAACAAATGTTAAAATCTGTTTCTCTTTCCCTGACTGGTCTCATGTTCAGATAAAAGTACTGAATCGAGTGTATACATACTGGCAGCTCCCAGGGTTATACTTCATTCCGAGCCCCGGATGTGGAGAGGAGTATGTTTGCAAGCCTTTCCAAATGAGCATGGGGTGGGGCTGTTTGGCAGGGTTCAAATCTCCAGTGAATGACCGGCTGCAGCTCTGATGAAAATAAAAGTTAAAGAATCCCTGACTTATTTAGAAATATATGTCTTTTTTCTCTAACACCAGTGTCTTTGTGTCTCCAACTGCTGTGGAGATGTCTCACTTCAAAACTGTCAGATGGCATGTGGGCATTCCTCCCTTCCCGTGCAGCAAAATCTTAGTCAGGTGTATACCTACTGTGTGCACCAGACTATATGTCATAAGTGCACCATGCTACATGTTGGGAATGATCGTTTGAGCATGGTGAGAATAAAACACCCATTATTTATATGTCAACTGCACCCCACCTCAAGAAATACATAAAAGCATGAACTTTTGCTTCTTTGAGAATACTTTTGTATCTAATGAGAGCTCATGTGAAACATTTAAGGAGTTTTTTTTTTTTAACTTTTTAACGTTTTATTTATTTTTGAGAGAGAGATAGAGACAGTGTGAGCAGGGGAGGGTCAGAGAGAGAGGAAGGTACAGAATTGGAAAACAGGCTCCAGGCTCTGAGCTGGCTGTCAGCACAGAGCCCGACACACGGCTCGAACCCACGAATCATGAGATCATGACCTGAGCTGAAGTCGGACGCTTAGCCGACTGAGCCACCCAGGCGCTCCAAGGAGTCTTATTTAAAACATAATAATATAGGGGCACCTGGGTGGCTTAGTCGGTTAAGCGTCCAACTTTCGCTTAGGTCATGATCTCGCGGTTCGTGGGTTCGAGCCCCGCGTCGGGCTCTGTGCTGACTGCCAGCTCAGAGCCTGGAGCCTGTTTCAGTCTGTGACTCCCTCTCTCTCTGACCCTCCCCTGCTCACACTCTCTCTCCTAGAAATAAATAAAAAAAAACATTAAAAAAATTAAAAATAAATAAAAATAAAACAATAATATCTATGTAACTTACCTCACATACTCTCTGTACTTACCTGTTCTTACTCTCCCTCCCATTGGCTCTACTATAGACAGTGTGGTCTACTTCTCTCAGTACTTTTGAACTGCTATTCCTTCTGCCTAGAATATTCTTCCTTCACATTACATCATTCAGAGCTCTACTCAAATGGCACCAATCAGAGAGCTCTTCCCTGACCAGCTGGTCTTTCTCCATCCCTGACATTCTTTTCTTCACAGCATTTGCTACTTAGACTGTATTTATATAGCTTTTAGTGTATAGCTTCCATTTTTTCCTACCGCCACTAAAATGTTAAGTGCCATGAAAGCAGGGTCTTTGTCTCTTTAATTTGTTACTACATCCCCTATGCATATGATATGTGTTATATAAACTACTTTATGATGGATGAATGCTCATTTTCAAAGTACAGATGAACTGAATTTGGTTATGAAGAGCTAAGAGTACTGAATAAATGTAAAAACAATAAATGAGATATTGTATACATTTTGAAAATGTCTATAAATATCACAAAAAAGAAAAAAGCCCAGAGACGTTTCCCATAATACTAGTTTTACATGTATTCTAGGGTTTTTATTAGAAAATTTCAGATGCAGTGCAAGATGGATCTACTTTGTATTGAATTAACATATTAGAAAAAAAATTGTAAAGCAAATATCTAATGCAGCCAACAAGGACCTTTCAATTTTGAAATAACATAATTTAAAAATACTTCTTCAAATTGAATTCCTATGTTCTTTCCAAAGCCTTGAAATGTTTTCCCACATAAGTTGGTGCAGAGATAATGAGTGATGCATCTGGAGTGAACCTTACCTCTGTGGTGTGTGGATGCCATGTCATCACTGATACAATGAAGGGGACCGTTGAATTACAGACATGGAGTTGGCCTGGCAAACATGGCAGATTAACCAGAAGGCTTGGACGCCTTTTACTGTGGTTGCTCTCTCCTTCTTATTCTCCTTCTTTGAAGACATAAACTTAAATCATGTATGGGTTAACATTTCAGCAACATAGACCAGAGTTTATTTTTGCTAAGGAGAACACCAATACTCAAAAGATTTCCATCAATTCATAGTACTTACTTGTAGAATGCTTTCTTCATTCCTGTAGAAGTTTATCTAAGCTGCTACATTATTGTCTTTCCGGGATACTTATTCTGCAACCCTCTTTCTCAAAGCCTCATAGAAAATGCCTTATTGATGATCATTAAGCCACAATGACTTGACATGCTAAGATTTAAGGGATACGTTCAAGTAGGTTATCATCAGGCATTCTCTATATTTCTGTCAGTTCAAGGTTATTCAGAAAAAAATAATTATTAATATATTCAGATACAGTTCTTACATTTGGAAGAAATATTCTATGTAGAGTGCTACTCACACAGGTGCATCCATACCATATGCATAGATTTATATAATTCTGGATATCAGATTTTATAATTCTGGATATCAGCAATACCTTTATATTTACATATTTTAAATATGAAGACCATATAACCCTAGTAGAGAAATCTTTGAAAAATGGAAAAGATGCCCTGAATACCACCATCTTCATAAATTATTGTCAGCATGTTTTTATATTTCCTTCCAGTAATCTGATGCATCTTATACTGTTTATCACTATGTATACAATTTTACATCTGGTCTTTAATCACTTAAAATCACAACATAAGCACTTTTTATGTTTCCTACATAGTCTTTTAACTATCAAGTAACTTCTGGAATAATATCGCATCAAGAGAATATACTTCACTTTCCCATTATTGGATATCTAGATAAATTCCAATATCATGCCATCAGAAATACTACAGCTTTTAATATCTTCATCCTTGAAGATTCTTTCCTAGACTTTGGATTACTATTTCTTTAGGATAGATATCCAGATAGTTTATTATTTGGTCACTAGTTAAAAATATTTTTTAAATTTTTTAATTTTTATTTTTTTTACAAATAGTTTATTGTCAAGTTGGTTTCCATCTAACACCCAGTGCTCATCCCCACAAGTGCCCTCCTCCATGCCCATCTCCCCACTCCCCCTGTACACCCATCAGTCCTCAGTTTGTTCTGTCATGGTTTGCCTCTCTCCCTCTCCCCCACCATTTCCCCCCTTCTTCTCCCCTACGGTCCTCTGTTAAGTTCCTCCTAATCCTCCTATACATGCAAACATATGATATTTGTCCTTCTCTGCCTGACTAATTTTGCTCAGCATAACACCTTCAAGGTCCATCCATGTTGCTACACATGGCCAGATTTCACTAGTTAAAAATATTTTTATCAAACTTGATACAATATTACCAAATAACTTTCCAAAATGTAATGACACCAGTAATGTTTTAGTGCCATTTCATGACACTTTTGCCATGCTGATTTTTATCATTACTACCTATTTTTACTAATGTAAATTTCTTCACATGGAAAAAATTAAAAAGATTGAACATCTTTTCATTTGCTTGGTTTCTAGTTTCATTGTGTGTGTGACATATCTGCCATGTCCTTTGAATGTATTCTTAAAATTGTTGTGTCGACTACATTGTGCATATAAAGTTGTTTCCTTGGATTTCCACATTAAAATCTCTTAATATTAAGTACATATACACTGAAAGTAATTTATGATCAATTTCAAGAATTTCTTTATATAAATAATGATCAAATATTTCTCCAGTATTTCTCCAGAATATTCTTAAATTTGTTTTTGATTATTTTATATAAGAAAGCCTAATTTTTTGTATATTAATATGTTTTCATGCATGAAAATCTTTTCATAATATTTATAACCTTATGTACAAAATGTCAATGCTTCTCATAAAGTTTCATCTTCTAGTTCCTAGCATTTAAAATACAATTTAGGGGCATCTGGGTGGCTCAGTCAGTTGAGTGTCCAACTTTGGCTCAGGTCATGATCTGACGGTTTGTGAGTTCGAGCCCCATGTTGGACTCTGTGCTGACAGCTTAGAGCCTGGAACCTGCTTCAGATTCTGTGTTTCCCCTTCTCTCTGCCCTTCCCATCCTCATGCTCTGTCTCTCTCTAATAAAAACATTAAAAATTTAAAAGAAATAAAACACAACTTAATTTTAAATATGTACCTAGAATTTTTCCTGGTGTATGATGTAAAGTGAACATTTTCTTAGCCACATCTTCAGTCAGTTCTTAGAACATAATTCAAGTTTCCCGCCAGGTTGCCTTGCCTCTGTTATCAGCTATTAATTATTTATGAACCAAAAGATCTACTTCTGACCTGTCTATTCTATTCCAGTGTTTTAAAATTTCATATTCTAGGGATAGAACTGCAGTCCTTTAACTATTACAACTTATAATAGTTAATCCCTTCTAATTTTACATTTCTTTTAAATATTTTCTTTTATATTTTCTCAAATTATCTCTCTCAAATAAAACTTATGGAATCTTTGCAAACATATTTTACTTTTTAACAAATAGAATCCAATTGTTCTATAGAAAAAGTTAGATATTTCTAACAATATGTGTTGTTCTTTTGTTATGTTACCTTTTATCATGAAACATATTATTTGTACAATGGAGTAGATAGTATATATGTATATTTAAATAATAATAAAAGGAACATAAACACACTCATCAATCTTAGGAAATAGAACAATGCCATTACCTTGCAAATACTATGTCCTCTTTCTTAAATGTCTTTCTTTTTCTCCAGCCAGAGATAAGCATATTCTGACTTTAGTAATATCTTTGTTCTTCCTTAAAGTTTTATCATCTAGATTTGAAATCTCAAATAATATATTTTAATCTGGACTATTTTAACATTATATTTGAATTTTCTTGAGTCTTGTTCTTTTAATGTAGCCTTAGATTTGAGAGATTCACTCATGAGTCTGCACACTGCTGTGGTGCACTCATTTTTAGTGCTGTTTACTATTCCATTTGAATAAACACTATTTACTTATCTAGTCTTAATGAGATTTTGATTGTTTTTTTTTTGCAGGAATTATAAACATGCCTGCTATAAACACATTATTTTGCATGTCCCCTAGGGCATCATGCAAGATTTCTTAGGGGTATGCATATAATAAATTCCTGGATCATAAGATATGATTAATGGTTATTGGCAAATTGCTTTCCAAGCATTCAAATATTTCCACTGGCAAAATTGTCATTGAGTTCAAGACCTGAGCTGAGATCAAGAGTCAGATGCTGAATCATCTGAGCTACCCAAGTGACCCAAAAATTCTTTGTGTATTTTAAATGCTGGCCTTTCTAGGTATAAAGCTGATGACTTTTGAGGAATGGCAGATCTTCATTTTAATGTAGACAGTTTATCAGTATTTTCCTTTATGGGTATTGTCTATTAATGTCTTAGTCCTTTCTCAGTCTCAAGACTTGATCTTTAATCCATCTGAAATTATTTTTTGTGTATAATTAAAAGAATTTTTTTTCTTTCTTCCCCCTGGATCATTTAATGTGAAGACTTTCCTTTACCTACTTCTCTTAAATGCTACCTTCATCAATTATCAATAGTCCATACACTCATTGGTCTGTTAGTGTGTTCAATATATTTTTTCTATTTGGTATATTTTTCTCTTCCTGTATTAACACGAACCTTTCATAATTTCTATAGACTTAGAATAACTTTTGATCAATGTAAGCTTTACCTACTTTTCTATTCTTCCTTTCTAAGAATATGTAGGTTAAAATTGGCCCTTTGCCTTCTATATAAAGTTTAGAATCTCTTATAATTTTCTGCCTCTTAAAATATGGGAATTTTATTGTAATTATATTGAATCTATATAGTATATAGATTATATTTTATAATATTGAGTCTTCTAATTTAAAAACATGCCTATTGGTCCATTTATTATTCTCATCTTTAATGACTTTTAAATATAGTTTTGCAGTTTTCTCTGTGTCTTGTACCTCTTAGCTCATGGAATTAGTAATGAAGGAGATGTGAAATTATCATATTCTGGATGTATTTTAAATATAATCCAATAGTATGTCTGATGGGAATTAGAAATGGGGACCAAGAGAAAGATTTTGGCTTAACCAATTCCACAGATGAAGTTGCCATTAACTAACATGGGGAAGGCTCTGGAAGAGATAATATTTGGGGAATTTCCAGTTTTGCATGTGCTGATTTTGAGGTGTTTCTAAAATGACTTCCAAGAGGAAATAACAAATAAGTGTTTTGTGTGCAAATCTTGGGTTCCTGAGAGAGGTTATAGCTAGACATACAATTTTGGGAGATGTATCAGGAAGATTTCAAGCAGAATTTATTTATTTATTTTAAATTTTTTTAATGTTTTATTTATTTCTAGGAGAGAGAGAGAGAGAGAGAGAGAGAGAGACAGCGTGAGCAGGGGAGGGTCAGAGAGAGAGGGAGTCACAGATTCTGAAACAGGCTCCAGGCTCTGAGCTAGCAGTCAGCACAGAGCCCGCCACGGGGCTCGAACCCACGAACCGCGAGATCATGACCTAAGCGAAAGTCGGACGCTTAACCGACTAAGCCACCCAGGCGCCCCCTCAAGCAGAATTTAATACAAAGTATTTTAAAAAGAAATTTATAGTATTTAAGGAAACTACAAGGGATGTTGAAGTATTCAGGGGGCCAGTAACAATAGGCCACTATGGACCCCAAGATCTGAAAGGACAAGGAGAAAGAAAAGTTACCAGAACCTTGAAGAAAGACATGCTTGCCTCTATCTTTCTATCTGCTTATATCTATCTATCTATCATCTCTTTATCTACTTATCTATCTATCTTCTATCTCTAGGCGTATGCTATTAGTGTTACCATTTGGTCACTTCAGTTATAGATGTGTTGTATCTCTTTTGACTCCCTTGCATATCTTTTGCATATATTATTTTCTCTCTAAATATTTTCCTTCTTCTTACTTTTTCTTCATTTTCTTCACCTGTTTTTGCACTATTCTCAATGATATCTACTGAAGTTTCCATAGTGTCTATTCTCCTTTGGGCTCCTTGGAGTATAGTGTTCATTTCCTAAATAATTTTGCTTGTTGCCTTTTTTTCCTGTAACTATCAGTTCCATTTTTTAAATCTTCTTTGTTAACTGGTCATCTTTTCTCACATGTAATTTTGTGTTTCATGTTCCTGAATAGCAATGACTACTTCATATTTTTGTTTTGTTTTTAGCTCAGACTGGGTGTTTTATATTGCTTTTTTATTTGAAAAAAAAAATCTTTTTTTGGAAAGATTTTACTGATGAGTTTTCATCATACGTAAGAAGCATATACTTTTTTTCTTTTCTTACTTTTTTATATTTTCTTTGTATATAGGCAGACAATATTTCTTTCCTCTAACTCATATTTTAAAAAGACAGATTTTCCTAGACTACCAGACAGTGATGTGTAAGAGATAAGCAAGGATAGTTCTCCAAGCTTCAAAATTGTACTAGATATCTCCCCCAACTCAGAGACTTCATCTTTCTCCACTCTATTCTCTTTTCAGTATGTTTACCTGTACTGACTTTATTAATGGCCTCCCTTGATTTTGGCTATCCATAGGATTTAGCTAAAGCAAAGCTCCTGTAGAAGTATGGAGTGAGGGAGGACAGTGAGGTCAGGCTTATTCCCTGACTCCTTCTCTGTGGTGTCACATGGGTTGGTTTGATCCCTGGTTGAAGTCACAGTTCATCTCAAGGCAGCTCTCTCTATAAGACTCTCTCATCCAGGTTCTGGGGACTGTTACCTTTAATGGCATCTATTAGATGACAAGAGTCTTTATAAAGAGTCCACATCTTTCAAAATACTTCATTATTAACCCCCCCTCAAGTTATCCATTCCCAGTAAGACCCTTCTGATTTAATAACGCTGGTTCTCACTCTTAATAGAAAAGGACTTCTAATGTGGCTCTTTCTGTTAGGCACTTGTTCCAATGAGTTATCCTACATCTAGCCATGAGTATCTCATATTTCCGTAAAATGCAATTAGTCCCACTAAAGGTACCCTAAGTGCATCCCTAGTTCACACTTGCTTTCTTTCAAATGCTAAGATACCTCATCTGTTTCCAGTAAATCCCATGTTGCTTAAAATAGTTATGCTCAATTTTTCTCACTTGCAACAAATAAACACTAACTTTTATATGCACTAATGCTTTCAATACTATATTTTCTTATTGAATATAACAGACATGTAGAACAGATATGCCCTTGTCATAGGATCCAATGATTGTTATATCACAGAATATGATTGTCTGAGTACATTAAAACTTTTACCAATGCAGTACGGTTAAAAGAGAGAAAAATATTAATGAATGCTTCTTCTTATGATGCTGCTGAGATTTTTTTAAATGGGTGGTTTCAGTCACAATGAACCAGATAATTTAATTCCACACTTTCCTAAATAGTAGATAATAAAGCTGATACTGAGTTTATCAAACATATCACCGCTTTTACAATTTTTATGTACCTCAAGTCATCCTGGCATATAAGTGCATGGTCCGTTTGTTAACACTTGTTAAATTTTGAATGTATCTATCCTTTTTTCAATCTTTTCTTTTTTCTTTCCTTTTTTTTTTTTTTTGTTCAATGTTTATTTATTTTAAGAGAGAAAAAGAGAATGCAAGCAGGGGAGGGACAGAGAGAGAGGGAGACACAGAATCCGAAGCAGGCTTTAGGCCCTGAGCTGTCAGCACAAAGCCCCACGTGGGGCTCAAACTCATGAACCACGAGATCATGACCTGAGCCAAAATTGTACATTTAACCGACTGAGCCACCCAGGTGCCCATATCCTGTTTTTTATCTTTTAAATATAATCTTACTCAGTTGTGGTGAGAAACATTTTTAAAGTTTCACTCATTTTGTTTTCAAAGTATTTTCCAGTTCCAGAGTTTTCAGAAGAGATTCCCTGTAGGTAAAGAAAGAATGAAATGTGTCTGTTAAAATTAAATGGCTCAATATTTTAGAGAACAGTATTATACCCACATTAATTTTTTAGATTAATTCCTAGGCAAAAGTAGCTAATATTGCCTTCCATGTGATTATTTCTCAAGGCATGACATAGTACATCAAAAATATCAACCTGGAAATGATCAATCTAATTAAAATGCCATAGATGTGTGGTACCAGTAATATTATCTCAAAATGATGAGTTATAATCTTTTTTTTAAGGGAAATGTTCTCTGAAACTTTAAAAGTATTACCATGTATAGTCCTAGGTTGGGTGTGTGAGTATGTTTGTATGTTTACGCACACATGCCATGAACAATAATTTGAATTTAAACAATTTTTAAAGAACTGAGTAAATTGTTATTTACATATGATGGAACAGTACTTTATAATAAAAAGAAAGGACGTATTGACACACAAGAACATAAATGAAACTCAAAATAATTACATTAAGTGAAAGGTAAGAGTACTTATAGATGTGGTTTATCTATACAATGGAATACTACATGGCAATGAGAAAGAATGACATCTGGCCATATATATCAACATGAATGGAAATTGATGGTGTTATGCTGAGCGAAATAAGTCAGGCAGAGAAGGACAGATACCATATGTTTGCATGTATAGGAGGATTAGGAGGAACTTAACGGAGGGCCATGGGGGAGAAGAAGGGGAAAAATAGTGGGGGAGAGGGAAGGAGGCAAACCATGAGAGACACTTGAATGCCGAGAACAAACTGAGGGCTGATGGGGGTGTGGGGGAGGGGAAGGGGGGTGATGGGCATAGAGGAGGGCACTTGTGGGGATGAGCACTGGGTGTTATATGGAAACCAACTTGACAATAAACTATTTAAAAAAATAAAATAAACATTGAAAAAAGAGTACTTATAGTATGGTTCCATTTACATAAATTCTAGAAAGTTCAAACTGATTTATAATTACAGAGAGTAGATCAGTCATTGTCTTAGGAAGGAGAAATTACAGAGATACAAAAGGAAACTTTGCGGGGGGGGGGGTAATAGTTATACTCATTGTATTGATTTTGATAATTCCTTCTCAGAATAGACATGTGTTGAAATGCATCAAATTGTACAGTTTAATTATATATTTGTGTATATCAATCAAACCTCAGTAAAGCTGTTAAGAAGAAAAAATATGAAAAAGGGATTGCATTAGTGAACACACTGGTAGCTCATAACAGACAATTTCTTGCTGAAATAAATATGTATCACAGCAGGAAAAATATATAAAACATGAAAATATGCTCAGCATCACTGATCATCAGGGAAATACAAATCAAAATTACAATGAGATATCACCTCACATCTGCTGAATGGCTAAAATCAACAAGACAAGAAACAACGGGTGTTGGTGAGGATGTGGAGAAAGGGGAACCCTCTTACACTGTTGGTGGGAATTCAAACTGATACAGTCACTCTGGAAAACAGTACAGAGTTTCCTCAAAAAAGTTAAAAATAAAACTACTCTATGGTCCAGGAATCTCACTACTAGGCATTTACCCCAAAATACAAAAATAGTACTTCAAATCGATATATGCCCCCCAATGTTTATAGCAGCAGCAGCTACAATTGCTAAATTATGAAAACAGCCCAAGTGTCAATCAACTGCTGAGTTGGACACACACACACACACACACACACACACGCAGACACACACGAGCAAATAAAAGATACAAGAAAGAATGTAATATAAAAAGTAAAGTAGACTAAAAAATAAGTGATTAATTTAGGAAAGCAAAAAAGAAGGAATAGAAGAACAAAATAACAGATGCTATAAGTAAAAAAAAAATAGCAACTTGGTAGATCAAATTTCAGTAATTGCACTGCATGTATATTGACTAAATATTCCAATAAAAAGATCTGTCACACTAGAACTGTTTTAAATGCATCTATATGCCACTTAAAAAATATTTTTTAAGTTTATATATTTACTTTGAGAGAGAGAGAGGGAGAGTGTGAAGGGTGGAGAGAGAGAGAGAGAGAAAGAGACAGAGAATCCCAAGCAGGCTCTACTCTGTCAGCACAGAGCCCAAAGCAGGGCTGGAACCCACGAACTGTGGCATCACGGCCTGAGCCAAAACCAAGAGTCAAAAGCTGAAATGACTGAGTTACTCAGGCGTCCCCACGAAATAATTGTTTAAGAAATGCTTTTATTTATCTTTGTATGAGAGGGGGATAGAGGATCAGAAGCAGGCTCTGTGCTGATAGCAGCAAGCCTGATGCAGGGCTTGAACCCACGAACCATGAGATCATGACATGGGCCAAAGTCAGATGCTCAACAGACTGAGCCACCCAGGTGTCTCTTACAAGAAATAACTTTTAAATTTAAATATGACAGGTTAAAAGGTAACTTATGGAAAAGGTATGCCATAAAATCATTTAGGAAAAGCTTGTGTGAATATGTTAATATCAGTCAGAGAAGACTTCAAAGCAAGATTTATTAAGGGAAATAAAAAGGGATGTTTTATAATTATAAATTATGAAACACTTAATTCAGCAGGAATATATTACAATTCTTCATTTGTGTATGCTTGAAAACAGCTTTAAATGATATAAATTAAAAGTCAATAGAATTAGAAGCATAGACAATCCAAAATCTCAGAGATTTTTAACATGTATCTCTCAAAAACTCTCAATAACTGACAGAAGAGGCAGACAAAACAAAAGGAGAGAGGACACAAAAGTTTTAAACAATATTAACAAACTTGGCCTAATTGGCATATCTAACTACTGCATCCAATAATTGCAGAATGTACTTTTTACAACGGAATGTGAAATATTTATTAAGTATATAGAGAAAATAAATACAGAATTAAATGAGATAAACTTCACACATTCAAAGTTTGATACAGTATGTATTTTCCTGACACTGTAGAACTTAAATTATAGGGGCACCTGGGTGGCTCAGTTGGTTAAGCATCTGTCCTTGGCTCAGCTCAAGCCAGAGTGCTCGTACTCTGTCTCTCTCACTCTTTCTCTCTCAAAAATACACATTAAAAAAATTTTTTTAAGAACTTAAATTACAGAAAAACAACTATTGGAAAATGAAAATTAGGGAACAGCAAGTATATTAAAAATCAACAACAGAATACAGAACACTATGGAATAATGCCTTTACTTCACAGTGCTAGTAGTAAAAACTATTGTTTTGTTTTTAAATCTATTTTTTAATGCTTTATTTCTGAGAGAGAGAGAGAGACAGCATGAGCAGGAGAGGGTCAGAGAGAGAGGGAGACACAGAATCCGAAGCAGGCTCCAGACTCTGAGCTAGCTGTCAGCACCAAGCCTGATGCGGGGCTCGAACCCATGAACTATGAGATCATGACCTGAGCTGAAGTTGGAAGCTTAAACAACTGAGCCACCCAGGCACCCCTAAAAACTATTGTTTTGAATTGTTCAAGAAGGCGAATGAAATAACATTTTCAGAAAAGAAATCAGAATGTCTAAAGACATACATTTCAATGTACATTGAAAGAAGGAAAATCGTTCTTGAAGGAAGGATTTTTATATTAAAAAATTATAAACAATGTAATGGACTATTTTAATCTATAAAATCATATCTTCCAGTACTGGGAATTTTTCTTGTATTATTTCCTTGATAATTTCCTCTTTTTAAAATTTTTTCTATTCCTTCTTTCTGGAACTCTTATGCTTTTGATGCTTACCTTCGTGGACAGATTCTCTAATATCTTCTTTCTTTTTCACCTCCTCATTTCTGTCTGATAGTTTTTCAGAAATTCCCTCAACTGTATCTTTCAAATTTATAAATTTTCTATTGATTTAAAAATATTTCTGCTTTTAATTTTGAATTTTCTGTATTTCATTTTCCTGTGGAGTTTCCTTTTTTTAAGTACAGAATTCTATTTTTCTGAAACAAATGAAGTAGCTTGTCTTATTTGTCTAAGGATTTTACATGCATGTTCTGTTTCCTGCATTGTCCCTGTCAACTGCTTTGTCAAATTTGTTCATAAAATGTTACCTACACTATATTATTTAGTGACTAAACTATTTTTGCCTATCTTTCTCTATTCCAACTCTATGAAGACTGGGATTTTTGTTCATTTTATTCTTTTCTGTAACTGCAGCAACCATAATACTGTGCTTAGCACATTGGAGGAACTCATTAAGAGTATAGTGAATGTCACAATGGATGTTATTAAAGATCTTCATTACTATCTGTTTCAAGTGATGCATATTTAGGAATGAAACTCTACAAAATGAATTAGAACCTCTATGTGAATGGTGAGGCTTGTCAAAGGATAAGATTTGCTGAAGGTGATGGGGTCTACACCCAGCCAAAACAATTTGGGAACTCCTAATGTTATTATCTATAGATCTTCTTTATGAACTGGTCTTATCTTCAGACAAAAATCAGCCAGATCCCTTCTTCAGTGACTTAGACTGGCTACCAGGAAAGTGAAGCTAAGAGATTGAGAAGAGTTGGAACACCATTAATAATTATGTACATTTCTACTTAATCCATTTTTTTGTCCTAAAACTCTTCTGCTCTCAGCTATGCCCGATATCTTCAAGATCAGAGTCACGCTCTTTCAGCCTTTCCATAAAGTACACGTGATCTTTTGCTCAGGTGAGTGAAGGGCCACTGTTAGGCTCTGTGACATGGGAGCAGTGATAAGAGAGGTGTAATTAAGTATTTATAGCCTATTTAAATTTTTTTCTGATCTACCACACACCATCCATTTTCAGAGGATCTCTTGCTTCCAATTTTCTCAGTTTTTCCAGAGTTTTGCTCTGAAAATTAGCTTGCTTCTTGGCAAGGCACTTAGTTTTCAGTTTTCTGTGATTTGCTAAATCAGTTATCACTCATCCAAATGATTTATATCATTTAGAATTTTGTTATCACCTTTCATCTGCTTTCATTGTCTCTTCCCTTGACCTTTGAAGGTTGAAACCTCACTGTAATGGGTTTATGG